TCAATTATTCTTAAGAGTGAGGTTATCTCTGAGTTCTTTGAGTAGCTAGCAATTTCCCCGCTGAATTGCAATCATATTCCACTTTTTACTTCAGATCCAACCAGAGCAGTGGGTGAGGAGGGAATCTCTTGATCTCTTTTTATCTGTCTCAGTGCTCTTGACCAAAATCTGCCTTCTGATTTGATGAGTTACCTTCTAATTTAAACAGACACAAGGTGTTCAGGTCAGGCGGTGACTCATAGCATCCACAAGGCCCAGGGTACCTGTATCACAGTGTACCTGTATCTCATTGTAATTTCAAAAGATGCTGGTATGTGTTTAATTGGGACCTTGCACTGCATAGCCAAGGAGAAGGCAGCAGTTTTCATTGTCTGAAGAATGGGGAAGAGAAACAGCTGTGGCTTTCAGGCTTCCGTGCCAAAAGGCTCAGCTGAGATAGGTAGGGTTTTTCAACCCTTAGTCAAGGTCATTGGGATTCTTTCCAGAAAGATCCAATTTCCACTGGTTGTGAAAATGGCAGGGCAGGGGTAGCCACCTGGTGTGATTGCAGGGAGGAGGGTCCTGCGACAAAGTAAATGGGATTTAATGCAAAAGAATGAATGTTATTTCTGCTGGAATTTTCAAAAAGACCAGATGAGGAGACAGTAACGTAGGGACTGCAGGCATTTTTCAAAGCCCCAGCTGTTCCAAGTAGCAGCATCCAAAGACAAGTTTGATGTTTTATGTGGAATTTCTTGCTTATTAGATATGGTATTTGGTGCCCCTTAGCGATATATATCAGGTGTAGTGCATACTACCAGGAGAACAGTCTCACCTCTAAAAGTTTTGCAGATGAAAATAATGAAGTTGAACTCATAAGGACTTCATTGGGGAATATGAATAGTTCTGATGTAATCAGAATTTATAAAAGCTAATACATTATTTCTTGGAAATCATTTCTCCTCCAAAAGACATAATATAAACAACTACATAAACATAGTTGTTACCCAACAGAGTTATCTCACATGATGTTGTCCGTGAGCTCTCTCTTCCCTTCACTCCCAACTCTAGACAACTCCAAATGTCTGCAGTTTCAAAAAAGAACTTTGCATCATATGAATAATACATGAATACATTTCCTCTGTAAAAATTAATATGATGCAGAAAAAAAAATGTTCTACCACTCAATCCCACTTCTCCTTAGCTGTCTGTGTATACTTTCAGAACTTTTCTATTCATGAACATAGTTTTATATAATTTTGTTTTTAACATTCCTGGTATCATACTCTGTTTCATTCTGCAGTTTGTCTTGGGGAATCTTTCTATGTGGGCATAGTGCTGTTAATGCTACTTAGTATTCCATCTCGTGGTTATACCACAGTGTATTAACTAACATTTCCCATTTTCCCACTGTTATAAACATTGACCATAATGAACATCCCTGTATGTGTCTCTCTGCACTTGGGTATTTCTCTAGAGCAGATACCAAAGAATAGAAGTGTCACATTAAAAGGATAAGTGTGTGGGCCGGCCCAGTGGCGCACTGCTACAGTGCGCTGCTTGGGAAGCACAGCGGTGCTCCCGCCGAGGGTTCGGATCCCACATACAGACCGGTTCCCGCTCACTGGCTGAGCGAGGGGCGGGCGCAACACCGAGGGTTGCGATCCTGTTGCCGGTCCCGGCCCGGTACGGGCGCAACACTGAGGGTTGCGATCTGTTGCCGGTCACAAAAAAAGAGACAAAAAGAAAAAAAAAAAAAAAAAGATAAGTGTGTTTTACATTTTAAATAGACCCCACTAAATTATTTTCCAAAATTTTAATATCACTTTACACCCTTACCAGACGTGATACTGCAATCAAACTGCATGCAGTCCTTTCTTCAGGTTAAGGCTTTTGGGCCAAAGGAACACCTTCAATTAAAATGCTAATTACTTTGGCAGGAGTAAGTATATCCTTAAAACCTGAAGATGAGTAATATAGGTTTAGGGGCAGTTTTGCTGGAGGCTGGGAAGACAGCAGGTCTATTGGACTTTCTAGGAAGTCAGGGAGTGGTCTGAAGACATAGGGAGCTGAGAGGTAGGAGTGGGGTGGTTAAAAAGATAACAGAGAGCTGCAAGATAACTTGCAACTGGGGAAGAGCTGGGGAAGCTGGAAGAATACTAGCAAAGAGCTATCAGCCTTGCATCAGAATTAGGGGATATGGGGAAGCAGGGTGTTGTATACTCTTATTCTTAATACCCCCTCCTCTACCCTGCCCCAACCTATTCCTCTTATTTCTCCAAGAGCCTGATGTTGTGCATGTGCATGCTTATTTTACGATTCTCCTTAGGCAGTGTGTCAGCCTTTAGGGGAATTGATGGCTGGATAAGGATCTCAGCTCTCAGCCAAATTCTTTCCTGATAGATAATGATTTCTCAGACCACACAGGCTAACAAAACTGCTCACCCAGTCATGTTCCCAGTGGTCATCTATTCCACATGTAAATTTAATGAAAAATTTCTGAGGATTTTTCCCCTTCCCAAAGCATTTTACAATCTTAGAATCCTAGATAAACATTTGTTTCATTCTCGAGAGCCTTTCTTACCTATTACAGAAGAAGAGGAAGAAGGAAAATTATTTTACAATCTGGTACATATGTTTTACTCTCTAACATTCAATTCATTTAATGAGACAGTTCAATTTTGCAAAACAGAGTTTATTTAAGACTGAATAACATTTTTTAAAAGTCAGATTTGGTAAACTCTTATTTATCAGAATAATAGATAATAATAGATTATTTTAACAGAAGTTTTAAATTTTCAGCCAACCTGATTTTTTCGCTATAACTAGTGCAACTGATTGTATAATCAAAATTTCTTCTAAGGCAGTGGCTCCCAAACTTTGCTGAACATCAGAATCATTGGGGAACATCTTAAAAATCCCCATACCCAGCTCAAACCCCATATTAATTAAGTCAGAATGCCAGATGGTGGGAGTCAGGCATCTGTAAACTACTGATCCAATGAATAAGAGAGAAAATTTTCTTGGTTTAAAAAAAATAATTTCTAGGAACTACACGACAATGGTACAGTTAAATATTTCAAATACTCTAAGTCTTTTCCTGTGACTAAAGAATGTCCATAATGCAATAGATGTATTGAACAATAATCTACAAAATGATACAATACAAATAAAATTTGCCAAATTAAGACTTTAAGTTGGGTGTTTGCTTATCAAATTATCAAGTACAGAAAGAACATAAACCACCATGCTTTCTCGATATTTACTAGAAGTTTGCATGTTATAGATACAGTGACAGCACAGGCCTGCTTTATGGGCCTAAGGAAGGTGTCCTTAATGAAATGTAGACGGACCCCTTAGTAACCAGCAGAGAGCAGGTAGGAGAACTTCATTAAGGATTTAAGGGAATTGGGGTTATTTCTGAGCCTCGGGGGTGGGGAGAAGTTACTGGAGAGAGCCTTATCTGCACCTGCATTTTGTCTGGCCATCCCTGCACTAATTTTACTTTTACTGCTCATACATACTTCTGCTTCATTACTTTTAAAATCCTGAAGAATGCCCCAAAACTTAAGCTTCCTCTCACCAGCTGGTATGGGATTTGTGTCCCACCCAGATCAAAGAGCAAGCCTATTGCCAGACCTATTGCCAAGTGAGTCAGCACCTGAACCCTGCAAGAATGCATAGGAACTCCAGAGCTGCTCTCTCCTGGAGAGGGTGGGAGGGGATTTAAAAACCTGCAGTGGCTTGGGGGAGGGAGGGAGCTGTTTGCTGTTCTCTGTTTGGGGAAGTAACTCCAAACCTTCCTTGCTGAGCTGCTGTGTAGCTTTGATGAGGGCCTAGTGAAGTTGGTCTTTGCATTATGTCTGGATGCACAACAGGAGAGTTCTGCTGCTGTTGTTTCGTAGCTCTTCTTCCTTTTTCCTTGGGTCTTTAAAGGGCATTTGTTATTCAAACACGCCAGTTTGGTGTCTGCCCACTTTTGGAAGTCTTCAATGTGGACAGTAGCTATCTCACCTTTTTCCTGCTAGCACGTCATCCTCTCTGGACTGAAGTCACCTGGTAAGACAATGGTATGTGCCTTGAGTCTTCCTGATCTAGTGAGACTAGGATTACCTAACAGTTCTAGGGCAATCCTTTGAGAGAACTAATCTTCGGCAGCTGAAGTTGTGTTGTGATAACACATCTTGGTCCATTGTGGTGAATCTTCACGAAAGCCCAGCAGGCAACTGGGCTTTCTGGGCAGGGCTTGTATGCTTTCTGCTCTGTTTCCCTCTTATTTTTCTTCCCTCTCTTGCGTTCTTATCTAACCTAGATTACCACTTCTTTTGTGAGCACTCCCTTTACCCTTCTTATTTCGCACTGCCACAGTAGTGGCACAATCTTATCTTTCAAAATAAACTGAAGGATAGAAGGGAGAGCAAGTTTAAGTAAGTTCATCTCTAAAGAAATCTAGTGTTTTTAGCATATGACCTCTAGGTGTAGAATTCCACCTTAAGATCCGACTACATTTTGAGTTTGATACAGGACCTGTCTGAAGCTTTGACTTGGCCTATTTGTGTGTTGAGTTCATCTCTAAAGAAACCTAGTGTTTTTAGCCTATGACTTCTAGGTGTAGAATTCCACCTTAAGATCTGACTACATTTTGAGTTTGATACAGGACCTGTCTGAAGCTTTGACTTGGCCTATTTGTGTGTTGTTCTTGTCTGGTTGTTGCAAACAAACATTGCAAAAGTTTTCATGTTTGTGAAGGTAAAGAATTCTTGAAGGAAACCTAAAGTGGTTGATAATATTGTGTAATTTATATTTGTTTTTGTCTAGGTAGGTGGGTATCTTTTTTATTCACCTGAGAGTTGAACCCCTTGGCTTAAAAAGAACGTGCCATTGGGAGGACTGCCACAAGCATCTAATACCCACATGACTCACTTTACCTTGTGTCACAGCTTTTATCATTGTTGACAAGCTTAGCGTATTCTGTCTGGAACCTGCTTGTAAGTTCCCATAATCTTTCCACTGTGTTATAGGACTACCAACCAGACTCCCAGAAATCATGTTGGTAGGATCCCAGTCCTTTTCACCTGGAGGGCCCAATGGGATCATTAGAAGCCAGTCCTTCGCGGGTTTCAGTGGCCTTCAGGAAAGGCGATCCAGGTAAGTTCTGCGTGGTTCTCTCCTGGGTACAGCTCAAGAAGGAAGTGAGCTTTGATGTTCTGGAGAGGGTCTGTGTGCATGTGGCCTCACCAAAACACACACACACACACACACACACACGTGCTATTTTAATCTTTTTCATGGAAAAGATGTACCAAAAATTAAGTGCTGTAGTTTCTTTTCTGTCATCTACAATTTCTCCTGCAAAGAAGATGGCTGAGGATTTAGGATAAGCTAGCTGTATGCATATATACCTCTGCCTACCCCCATCCTTTCTTGAGACACATTTTCCATTGCATTCAGATTTTGGAGACTATGTTTGGTATGAAATTATGCAGTGGATAAAGACTATGCTTCTGCAGATTGACTCTGGGAAGCAGGTGCTATTCACACAAGAGTTGTGAAAGTTAGTTTGCTGGTTTCCTTGGAATCCCCTTTCATCCAAAACAGGATGTAAGGGAACCCAAGCAAAAAACACAGGTAGTGAAAGGTAACAAGTCACAACATCGTCTTCAGTTTTTCTTACATGATAACGGTCCTACCCTCCAAGGAACCTTACTGGGCTTTAACCTATATTGTTCCATTTGGTGCACATGGTGATGGCAGAGGAGCCTAACTAGTAACCTACCTGAGAGGCACCCAGCAGGCACCTGCCAGACTCAGAGGTCACCGGATCAATGAGTGGTCTGGCCTCTCAATCTCCTAATCAGACCAGTACTTTGGGTTTGAGTTATCAGGTGTTCATCTTGCCACTGCAAACTCCTTCCCTGCCACTAATGGTGATGTTGAATTTTTATGTTATACTTAATCATAATTTACTCCATAAACACAAAGCTTTTAAAAATGCTGTCAGTCCAGTGACATGTGCTTTCCTTTAATGTCATATAGAATTAGCCATTTGTCATGCTTATGGCTCCTTTTTAGGATTCTTTCACATCCTATTTGAATTTAATAGATGCTTATACATGATATTGCATAGTGCACATGTTTTTTCAGTTGAATTATATACTTCTGCCTGTTCATTATTTCTGCCTGGGATTGTTTGTACTTGGCTTCCTATAAGGTCTAGTGCAATGATACGTTTTCACTGAGAACACACATCATCTGAAGCCAAGCTTCAATTCTGGGTAACCTCTGCCCAGCAAAGCTTTCAGATTTCAGCAGTTAACAAATCTAACACCAGGAAATGAAATGTAGGATGGCTCCGATCTGTCAATATACAAGGGAACGTTACCTTCCCCAGAGGACACTCATCAAACACAAGATGATTAAAGAGGCACTTCTTTGGTCAAATCCTTTTGGATTCTCAGGGCTCACAATTTTTTCTTTTCTTTTTTTCCCCCATAGGTGTAATTCCTTCATTGAAAATTCCTCAGCTCTTAAGAAGCCTCAGGCCAAACTGAAGAAAATGCACAATTTAGGACACAAAAACAACAACCTTCCCAAAGAGCCTCAGCCTAAAAGGGTGGAGGAGGTCTACAGGGCCTTGAAAAATGGACTTGAGTAAGAACATTCAACCTGATGATGCAGTGCATAGAAAAAGAAAATCTATTTCCTTTCTAAAATGGCCAGGGGGTCAGAGAAAAGCTAATCTTATGAGACCATTTTTAAAATGTCTATTTTTGTAGTAGGTATTTTATTCTTACACCATGATTGGGGGAGGCTTAAACAAATCCCAAGGATGTGAAATATGTTGGGGTTCCATATCATATCAGTAACATTGAAGGAGGCCTGAAACAGTAATCTGTTTATATTTAACTCCATACAGTATTGGATTTTCCTTAAACAATGGTGGACAGGTATATATCCATTCCAGAGACTGCTGAAGAAGGGTTCTGAAACCTCCCTGAGTCTATTGCAGGGATTGTTTGCCCAGAATAAAACTTCCCTCGTGTGCAGTGAGACATCCACAGTCAGTGTTGTATATAACTAGATAGAAATCTGTGAACCCAGACCCAGGACTGACTCCATGGGCATCTTTCCCCTTTGCTCCCCATTGGACTTTCAGCCTGACAGGGGTTCTCCTTTTTGACCAGCTGGATAGTACCAGATGCAACTGCTAGAGCTTTCAAAATGTTGAAAGACTAGAAAAAATACAAAGCCTCCTCCCCAACTACAGAGCCAGGTTTAGATTCTCAATCCCCTTTCAGAAGGAAAAGGTCAGCAACAGCTCTGGATTCCAGGTAACAATCAGAGTTCACGAGCATGGCTTGTCTTATCTTTACAGTGAATATCTGGAGGTTCACCAGACAGAGCTGGACAAGTTGACAGCTCAGTTAAAAGATATGAAAAGAAACTCTCGCCTGGTAGGTACCATCCAGTCATTAGGACGTTAACACAGTGTTCTTTTTAGTTTTTTTTTTTTTTTTTTTTTGGCTAAGTATCTTCTCTTACTGGATGGGAGTGGGGAGGAAAGTTTAAGAAGAGCGGATCGAGGCTGGCCAGTTTGCTCAGTTGGTATAGCATGGTGCTGATAACACCAAGGTCAAGGGTTCAAATCCCCATACCAGCCAGAAGCCAAAAAAAGGAAGAAAAGTAGACTGAAGGAACAAAGTACTGGCTGCATCCTGGTATGTGTTTTAGAAGGAAGAAGAGGTTGAATTTTCTTCTTAATGCTTTATTCCTAATACTTTTTAATATTTACCAGGCATGTTTATGCAGATAAACTTTATAATCAGGAAAAAAAAATTTTTTTTAAATCCCTATAACCCCCTATCCTAAATAATATAAGAAAATGAAAAATTGGAGTTTTCCCAGCATATTGTTAGTATATACAGAATTTGGAACCAAGAACTTTTACTTTATCTCCAATTTTTTAAAGATGTAATAGGTCAGTGATGTCAGGGAGGGAAAAGAAAGAGACTCAAAGGTCTGAGAAGTTGAAGGAGTCCTTGGGCCAGTTTGATTACACATTGTATTGCAAATTTCCTCTTTCTAGTGAATTTGTAAGGGCTTGTCTGGTTGAAGAGGTGTCTACACTGTTTTAAATGATTTTGTTCAGTTATATAAATGATATTATACCTTAATGTTTCAAGGCATGAGAAAGCCCAAAAAAAGTCTACGTACGTGTAGACTAGTGTGGAGTGGGACTGTCACCCCTTCGTTCTGGACACTATCAGGAGTTTTCAGTGCAACCTAGAGAAAATTTCTCTTTGAGGGCAGCTATAGGTTAGCAGTTGTTGGCTTTTCCTTTTTTTAGAAGATGCAGTAAAAATGTATGAGGGTGCTTCAAAAAGTTCATGGGAAGATTTGTATCATCTTGTAATTCCATTTTTCCATGAACTTTTTGAAGTACTTGTGTATATTGTTTTTTTTCGAAGGCTTAGAGGTTAAAGGCTTTTTTTTTTTATTTTATTTTTTTATTTTTTTTTTTGTCTTTTGTCTTTTTCCATGTCCGGCAACGGATCGCAACCCTCAGTGTTGCCCCCGTACCGGACCGGAGACCGGCAACGGGATCGCAAATCTCAGTGTTGCTCCCGCGCCTCGCTCAGCCAGTGAGCGGGAACCGGTCTGCATGTGGGATCCGAACCCTTGGGCGGGAGCGCCGCCGCGCTTCCCAAGCGGCGCACTATCCAGTGCGCCACCGGGCCGGCCCGAGGTTAAAGGCTTTATCAAGGTTAAAAGATTTTATATTCTACTAATGTCAGAATATAAATAGCCCCTATCTATGTGGAACTCCTTGTGGGATGGCCTTCAGAGCTTTTGAATGACCTTGACATCCTCATTGGCTGCAAACTGTTGCTACTTTGCAGAGTGACTGGATAGAGAGGCTTCCGCCAGGACCTAGTGTACGTAAAAACCCTTCAGATAGGGCACGTGAGGGTAGTGCACCAACTATACTGTGATATTGTGTGCACACAGGAAATGAACTTGCTTTAAAAACAAGTAGTGAAAAGCATTTCACCACCCTCAAGAACTCTTCTTAAATACCAATTTTATGTGTTTAAATAGCAGAGCAAGTATTTTTTTAACACACACGTATATATATATACCATTACTACATTTTATGTTAACACCATTTATTTTTTGAAATTTAAAAGGTGAACATGAATTTATGTGCCCCTCAATATGTAGAAACTGGAGAGCAATCTGTCGGAAGAACTCAGAGCACATGAAAACCTTGAAACTCTGAAGGGGCAGAGAGGATTGGGTGTAATTCTTGGAAAGAGTGTAAGAAAATATTGGCTTTTTAAAACACTCTTACTGAGTGTTGAAACTCCACCTCCGTGAAAATTTAAAATAACCTGTTGAAACTCCACCTCCGTGAAAATAAATAAATTAAATAAAATAACCTGTATTTTTACTCTTTTAAAGAAAATGTCAAAGGGCTAGCCCGTGGATCACTTGGGAGAGTGTGGTGCTGATAACACCAAGGCCACGGGTTTGGATCCTATATAGATAGGGATGGTCGGTTAGCTCACTTGGGAGAGCGTGGTGCTGACAACACCAAGTCAAGGGTTAAGATCCCCTTACCAGTCATCTTTAAAAAAAAAAAAAAGAAAGAAAATGTCAAAAATCCAGTGGAACTTTGAAGAACTGATCATTATGTGGAAATGCGGGCTAGATTTCTCTATTAATATTAGTAACAATTTTATGGAAGATATGTTTTAATCAGATACTTCTTTTTTTATTTTAGGGTGTGCTGTATGACCTAGACAAGGTAAGTTATCATTCTAGGTTGGGGTGTTGCTCAGAAATAAAACTCTGCCTCCTTAAGTAGACATCAATGACAGACCCTCCTAGGGAGAGTAAAATCCTAGAGAACTAATGGTTTTCCTAATCCTGGAAAAATTCATGCTTTTTCTGATAAGAATGATAAAAGAACTTTGACCTACAATAAAGTATTTAAGGTCATTTCTGTAAAAATGCCACCAGGTTATAGAGTTTCTGATTGTTTTCCTAAGTTTAAGAACTTCCCAAGTATTTGGAGGTCCTAAACTGTGTTGTTTCTAAATATTAACTACTATATTTTAATCAAATCTAAAACTTTTTTGATTGGAAAATACACCATTATTTTATGTGCCACTAAGAAAAAAAAATGATTCCAGTTAAACTCTGATGGTTCTTTCTTTTCACTTATAATTTGTACTTTATACTTCCTGATAAAACTCTAATAGGCTATTTAGAAATAGCAGGGTTGTTTTTCTCTCCTTTTTTTTTTAGTTACATATGCTACTGTTCTTTCCATGCCTTTCTGTGTACACAATAACTTTATCTAAATGCTAAATCATGCTATATTCTTTATGAAGATTTTTTTTTTTTTTCCTTTTTGTCTTTTTT